TTTGTGTGTTTCTGTGTGCTGTGCTTCCTTTCCTGAACTTTCTTTGAAGAATTATGTCAGGGGATAGCGCGAATGCAGTTCCCACTACGAATACGAAAAAATTACGCACTCGAGTCACCCGCATTTGAGGTGACCACAGGGGTCAGCCAAACCGGAGTGCAATGGAAAGGCCTCGCCCTGGGAGGACCGCCGTCGTGATCATGGTGCCTCCCGTGCCAGGTAAGTATGGTTTGCTACGTGTCTTCATTTGCAATCCTGCACCGCTTGCGTTTTCGTAGTGATCTTGGTTTCATCTCCATGTTACGCAATTCAACCTCTATCAAAAGCATAGCAAGTAATTTGTCACGACGTCCTGTACGTTTTAAGTAGGATGTGAGTCTACAGGATGTGTAAAAAACCAAACAGACTGGATAAACCGATGAGGAGTTGGTTGTTGTACAGAAACACAATAAACAAGTCTTATTTCTGATTTTCTTCGTATTCCATTTATTTCACAGTTTATGTTTTAACCTTTTACTGTTTTTAAAATAGATAAGTATCATTATTATTATTATCATCCTCATTATCAATATTATTTTCATGACTAGATTTGATCATTATTGTGCTATTTGTAAAATATATCTTTTTGAAACATTATTTTTTCCTAAAGAACCCCCCCCCCCCCCAAAAAAAAAAAAACCCAACAACAACCCAACAACAAACAAACTAACTAACGAAACAAACAAACAACCAAACAAACAAACCGGCACTTATATGATCTTTTTATGTTGCAAGTGCCGTAAAACTATCACTAAAACTAAACTAAAACAAACAAACAAACCATTACTTCTAGGGCCGTGACCAAGGTTAGATCTAGGGTCTTCTTCTCTCCAATCCATTACTATTTATTTTGAAAGAGAGCCTAAGTCAGCGCATGACATAAACAACCAGCTCATAGACGGAATAATAATATTTGAGGTGCTATGTGTGCCCCTGAAATTTAAGTGTTATAAATCACGTGGAAACACTTTTCAGGAAACGTTTTCATTAGATGAAAATTAGATAGAAAAAAAAATCGGGGTGAAAGGGTTTAGTCCCCGCCATCCAGAAGAATTTAACTTAGAATAAAGAGATGGAAGACAAAGTCGAATCTCCTGAATGGTTCTCAAAATACCGTGGCTCACCGTAAGTACTGTATTTTAAAAAATCATCACTGTTGAGCTCTTATTGCTTGCTTTTTGGTAGTAAAGAAGTGGAAGCAACCTAAGCCCCAGCCAAATCCTGGTCCTCCCACTGCCACTGGATGGTTATGGTGGTGGTTGTTGTGATGTACATGAAGATGATTTGATGGTGATGATGTGATGGTGGCCGACATGAAGATAAAATGTACAGAAGTGGTCCGGACAAATGGTACACGTATTGATTGCTTTTAGTTTTGTGAATTTTACTTGATTAAATAAAATTGTATGTGTGTGTGTGTGTGTGTGTGTGTGTGTGTGTGTGTGTGTGTGTGTGTGTATGGGTGTGTGTGCGTGAGTGTGTGTGTGTGTGTGTGTGTGTGTGCGTGTATGTAGTGTGTGTGTGTGTGTATGTGTGCGTACGTGCGTGCGTGCGTGCGTGCGTACATGTGTGTTTGAGTATGTGTGGTGAGAGAGAATTGAATTGAATCTGACTTCATTCACTTTCGAGACCAGTGGCCCATACGTCATAAGTTACAAATTAAATGCAAAATACTAATAATAAACTCGCACAAAAAAGTCAAGGAACAAAAATTCAAAGAAACTTTACTGAAGATCAGTTTAACCTAATGTATTCATTTTTTCAAAAAAGATGCTTTCGACTCTTTAGATCAAGTGTGTACAATTTCAGATTTCAACAAAAACGACAAGTTCATGTAAAATGAGTTTAAGTCACACTGGTCGGATTTCAAAAATCTGAACAACCATAGTTCTTAATGAACATTGTCAATAGTGGGTGTAGCCACTCCGTTTGATCAAACACTCGGCACAGCGTCGACCCATGGACAGAGTATGCCTTCGGAGAACTTGTTGCGGTAGGTTCTACCACTCCTGGACGAGGCAGCCCAAGAGTTGTTAAAGGTTTTGTGCAGGACGGTGGTTGTCCCTTAACCACCAGTCAAAGTGATCCCAAATGTTCTCTATTGGGTTCAAATCCGGACTACAAGCTGGTCAGTCCATGCGGGTGACAGCTCACTGCTGCAGAAAGTCCCCCACGATGCGTGCGCGATGTGGCGCGGTGTTGTCGTCCTGCAGTACAGCCTGGGGTCCAATCTGCTGCAGGAGAGGAACTGCAAGGGGACGCAGGATTTTCTCCCTGTTCCTTGGTACAGGGAGGTCCTGTGGTGAGCTAAGAAGCCTCCACACACCAGAATGGACCCTCCACCGTAGGGCGCCATCTGCTGGATGCACTCAGGGTGGAACAGCTTTCCTCAGCGCCTCCAGACGTGGGCTCGCCTGTCTGGGTGCAGCAGGTTGGATCTGGATTCGTCTGAGAAGACCACCTGGTACCACTGACATTGTGTCCACTGTGAATGGCGAGCAGACCACGCCCGGCCAGCTGCTTTGTGGTGCGGTGTGTGCCTTGGGCGCCTGGCAGGGACACGAGAAGCGAACTTGGCTCTACGGATACAGTTCCTTACAAGGTCCTCGATCTCGTGGACATTGGCTGTCACCGTAGTTGGTCCCTGGTGCCGTTTGCAGTTGTGATTCGTGACGTCACGGCCTGTCTGACGATGAACTGGTTGATGCTGTCGTTGGTCAAACATGGCGCCCTGGTCGATGCCTGTCCTTTGACCCTTCCGGTCGCTTCCCATCGTTCTTGCAGCCTCTATATGACTGGCTGGCTCTCTCTCTCTCTCTCTCTCTCTCTCTCTCTCTCTCTCTCTCTCTCTCTCTCTCTCTCTCTCTCTCTCTCTTTCTCACTCTCTCCCAAGGTAGGGTAACAAACGAAAAAGTCCCAATTTTGTGACATGTATTACTACTAAATTGTCCTTCTATTTCTTCATCTACTTCTTGTTCTCCTCCTCCTCCTCCTCCTCCTCCTCCTCCTCCTCCTCCTCCTCCTCCTCCTCCTCCTCCTCCTCCTCCTCCTCCTTCTTCTTCTTCTTCCTCTTCTTCTTCTTCTTCTTCTTCTTCTTCTTCTTCTTCTTCTTCTTCTTCTTCTTCTTCTTCTTCTTCTTCTTCTTCTTCTTCTTCTTCTTCTTCTTCTTCTTCTTCTTCTTCTTCAACTATTCCTCATTCTCCTCCTTCTTCTTTTTCGTCTTCTTCTTCCACTGTGAGCGCTCCAAGCCCGCTGTGAGAAGTGAGAAGACGGTCAAAGGCATGAGACCGAAACCGGGTCAAAGGTTCAGCCAATCGTAGCCCGGTTTACGCTCTCTGTGTAGTCGCATGTTTTAACCTCAATGGCTTCCAGGGGAAACTACAGTGGAAACCATATATAACAGGCCCGGTAATAACAGGGATCCGGTAATAACAGGGATTTTTAAAATCCCCGTTTTTTCCTACTCTTTGTCTCTATTAAAAGTTATCGGCAATAACAGGGCCTCATCAGAGTCCTACTGGTTATAACAGGAACAAAGGCTCGTTAACAATGTGTAAAAAGTAAGAGAGAGAGAGAGAGAGAGGGAGAGAGAGAGAGAGAGAAAGAGAGAGAGAGAGAGAGAGGGGGAGAGAGAGAGAGAGAGAGAGAGTAACGTGTTGATGGAGCAAGCCCACGCAAGCCATGCCACTGCGAGCACACGCAGCGTGAAGCGAGAGAGGGCTGCGGTGTGCTGCAGACCTCGATCTAGCCAGAAACCTAGCAACACGCACGCGTAATGTGTCACCAACGATGTTAAGCGCAAGAGAAAATGCCTTTCAGTTGACAAAAAGTACGAAATAATCCAGGCTGTTGACAAAAAGCAAGCTCTACTGGCAGAGATTTGTCGTCAGTTCGACATTCCACAAGGGTCGATTCACACCATTATCAAGGATAGAGAGAAGATAGTGGCAGCATACTCCAATGGAAAGTTTGCTCAGGATCGAAAGAAGATGAGACTATCCGATGCATAATCTCTGGACCAAGCTCTTCTGATATGGTTTAAGGAGGCAAGGAGAAAGTTGGTGCCAAAACCCCTGTTCGTGGATACTAGTGACAAGGGCAACTACCAATGAATAAGTACAGCTGGATTAGTCCACAAATGCTTACTTTCCTTGCATTTCTGATTTAACAGGGATCGGATATAACAGGACATTTTCTCTACTCCCACCATCCCTGTTATACCAGGTTTCCACTGTATCAAAGCCGCGCACTATCAGAGCCGGGCACTTTTTGACTATATCGATACAATTAGAATGCCGATTCCACCCAACGGCTACAGTCCCCTTGAAAAATTACTCTGTACAGCCCCCATCCAAATATAATAGTATATTCGTCTTTCTGCAGACTTCCAGACCATTTCTAAGTTGCAATTAAAAACACAAACCAAACAAAAAGGCATTTCCGCGAAAAAGAAGTAATAATGTGCTACAAGCAAATGTACGCAGATGGACAAGTCTCACAACGTCAATTGTTTTCCTGAATGAGCAAGAAAATGCTGCCCCTACACCCCTGTCCTGTAGATATGTTTTAATACCTGAAAAGCCTATTCATTCAATAAAAAAATTAAATGATATCTGGCCCTAAGCCCAGTAAAACGCTGAGGGTACTTAAATTGTTGGATGGTACTGTTTTGGGCATCGGCAATCTAGTTGTATCGATATCGTCCAAAAGGCCTCGGGTCTGACAGTGCGCGGCTTTGATGTTCTCCCGCTTCCAGGGCCCCTTTCCGCAGTTCCCTGTTGCAGTGATGCAGCAGCCTGGAATCCAATAAACATGGTTACAATAGTTACATCGATAACTTTCTATTATCAAAGATCGTTCATAAGAAGATTGCTCTCTAGTTCACTCTGACAAAAAGGTGTCCGCGCATTGGTTCAGGTGGTGCTGCAGTCCTTGTTTTGAAGCTCTCTTTCGTTTCTCCAGAAGAAGAATAGGAATGCCACAGTTTGTTAGTTTCGCTTTTATTGTTTTTCACACAAGTAGGGTAACTTGATTCGCCAAGTCTGAAATTTTTCAAAGAGGGCGCCACCGGTTTTTCAGTGTCAACATGGACACGTGTCTCAGCCTTGCTGTGATTGGCTGCAAACCACCCGATCGCACGATTCGCAGGCCTGAAAATAAATGCATTTGTTTTTGTAAAACCGACCCG